AGCTATTAAGAGTCGTTAGCTATTAAGCTTGACAGAGCTGCAGTTTGAAGATAGCTGCCACTCACTACTATCAATGTACTGATGATATGGATGTGAAGACTATTACTAGCCTCCCCTGACATTGAGTCTCTGCTTGGCCAAACTTTAGTCAGGCTTCAGACTTTCTCCTAGGTCCATCTGTATATTCCTAGGTCTAGTTTTAGCAAAGAATCTCCCATTCTTAATACCTGATCACCCTTCATTTCTGATAAGGTTCCTCGTCCACCACCATGCTGTAACCAAAAAGCAGGTCAATTGCTCCCTGCTTGCAGAATCCAATGAACAAGAGTGAGGCCTGGCACAAAAATAGTGAATTTATTCTGAAGTGAGTTTGGGAAAGGGGCACAAAACTCCTTGCCTTTAAATGTACTGATTCACCTCTGGAGCAGAAAGCAGACACTTTTACAAGGTAAGGGGGACAGTGAGCAAGGGCAGGGTTTCTCCTGCAAGCCCGGTGACTTATCTACCAGACAGTAGAGTCAGTACCTTCCTGGGCAGAAATAAGTTGGAAAAGTGGTCAAGCTGGCATGCTTTCAATATGCCCTGAGGTGAGTGAAAGTCTTGAGGCAGTTCCTTGAGGGTGGCAGTTCCACCTGCTGGAGGTGACAGTTCCCTGGCTGGTATGCTTTGGCCTGCAAATCCACTGTCAGCTCTGGAGGAGAGATCTACGTTGAAGGACACAGTTGGAAGAACTTGCCCTACAGGGAATGTCTGGTGAGGGGGAGGTGAAAGGTTATATTTGCATTTCTAAAGGGCTGGGTAGGAAACAGAGAACTGACAGAAAGGAGAGAGAAGAGAAAATACAAAATAATAGTTAAAGAATGGGAGCACTCAGTTCAAATGTCCCTGGTGATGTCTGTGCACCCTGGCCTGCCTTCAGCAAGAGTTCTATGAGGTCAGTTTAGCCAGAATACCCCTTACCCCTATGTTCCCCTTAGTAATTTTCCATCCACTGCCCCCCACCATGCTCCTTGGCTATGTATTTCCACTTGCCTACGCTATATTCAGAGTTGAGCCCAATCTCTTTCCTCAGCAGCCAGACCCCTTTGCAGCAGTCCCCATACCTTTCACAGTAGTCTTTGATAAAATCATCCTTAACTTGCTTTAACGCATAGCATTGATTTTTTTCCCCTTTAATATCCCTTGGATTCTTACTCCAAGAAGCCTCCTTATTAAACATGAAATAAGTCCATGGTCTGTGCAAAGTCTAGTTCCTAGATGTGCATAACATGTAACTTTTCATTGGTTTTTAAGAAGGGGTTTTAGACTTACATTTGGCTGCAATGCTTCTGATGTTCTGGGAGTTCACGTCAAGCCAAAGAATTAGGTTGCCACAGGAAGACTTGATTCAGACAGACTGGCAACCAGCCCCCATTTTCACTTTTCTTTCTTTCTTTCTTTCTTTTTTCTTTTTTTTTTTTTTTTTTTTTTTGCATTTTTGCACAAAATCCCCTTTCACTCCAATCCTCTGACCAGACTGGCTGTTTTACTTTCCCTAGAGCACTGGATGTGGTTAAAGGCTTTACTTTGCAGGCATTTACATGCTTCCGACAATGAAAATCAAGTCAGATCTTTGTGTCTGGACCCCCAGGACCCAGCTCAGTGCCTAGAAGGCAGCAACCCGGAATATTTCTGTGTTGAATGCATGAGAGGTCAACAGTGAGGTCAAGTATGCATTCATGTCAATAATGAAGACCTGATTAACAGATCAAATAAATACTTCAGTAATCCTCAGAAAAAATGAATAACAATCCTAGATTCATCACATTCTATTTTTTTTTTTTTTTTTTTTTTTTTTTTTTTTTTTTTTTTTTTTTTTGAGACAGAGTTTCGCTCTTGTTACCCAGGCTGGAGTGCAATGGCGCGATCTCAGCTCACCGCAACCTCCGCCTCCTGGGTTCAGGCAATTCTCCTGCCTCAGCCTCCTGAGTAGCTGGGATTACAGACACGCACCACCATGCCCGGCTATTTTTTTGTATTTTTAGTAGAGACGGAGTTTCACTATGTTGACCAGGATGGTCTCAATCTCTTGACCTCGTGATCCACCCGCCTCGGCCTCCCAAAGTGCTGGGATTACATGCTTGAGCCACCGCACCCGGCCCTAAATTTTTATGATTAAAAAAATTGGCATTGTAAAAAAAAAAAAAAAAAGGAAAATACCAAAAAATCCATAATTTCACCATCTAGTAAACATTTCTGTGTTTATATTTTATATATAATTCTTTTCAAAATAAAGATTTTCCTACATTTTTATTTAACATTGCATTGCTAATTCACTAAATATTTTTCAAGAAGGGTTTGTAGTGACTTATTATTCTATCAAAGTATATTTATCAGAGGCAAATGCACCTCTATCCTGATTCTATACATGAAAAACACACTAAGAAAATGATATGAACTGCCCAGCATCCCTTCTCCAGGAGAATTATTGATCCCAGTGGCTTTTATTTGCCAATGTGGCACTTTCAGAGACTTACAGAAGAGACGAGCAAACAATACAAATTATTGCCTCCCTCACGAGTGTGTCTCTAACTTAATAATGGCTCGTAAGCATGACTGGTTTAAGTCACTCTCTCCTAATGTTATTCAGGAGTCTTTGTATGCCCTACCCCCACTAAAATACAAGATTTCTGAAATCAGGGTCTTTTATTTCTCAGTGTTCTATTGCCTGCTCTTCCCACCACACATTCCAGCCCAGCAGCTAGCAGACCACCTGAAACTTTCACACTGGGAGGTCTTAGATCCTGTTTGGGAGGGTTTGAATTTCAAAAGCCCCATTAAAGCTCCCCATTTCCTTTGTAACCAACATTTTGCCTAAAGAGTACTCAGGGACCCATGACAAAAAGTGGCCACTTGCTTCTTTAGAAAGACATTCCTCCAAGTGTAAGGAGAATGGCAAGAAAAAGAGAAATGAAGGGTAGGAAAGGAGCGAATGAAATCATCTTTTCTCCTGATTCCTGGATCGAAGAAGGCTGGTCAGGCTGCAGCAGCTCTTGGGGACGTGTGTCAGCTGAGTGGACAACGGAGTGTGTGTATGGGGGTGGGTGGGCAGGAGCAGTCCCCACAGAATTTTGAGCTGGAAGAGGACAGTGAAGGCCACTGGGAGCTGGTTTTCATCTCTCAATTAGATTTACTCTGATTTATGAGGTGATAGCCAGGAGCCAAAAACATCAGTTGTTGGACCCTCATGGGAGACACGGGGTGGGAGGGTTGCCCCTACTTCTGTCTCTGGGACCTTCCCATCCAGTACTCTGGGCCACCCTGTCTGTGGGCAGTAGCCTAGCCCTGCTATGTTATATATTTAAATATCTACCAGCACCCTTCCTTGTCATTATCTTAAACAGTTTATAGAGACGAATGTCTACAATATTAGTTAAGAATTTTGGTATGTTTTGCTAAATATAAACAACTTTGGTTTATAATATTCATACAATCAACCTACACTGATGAATAATACTTATAAAACACTCCTATATTAGATATGAGTAGTTACATAGTAGTACAGGATAGAGAAATGAAGGGCCTTCAGTCCATTAAGACTTTCCCCCAGCCAAAGTCTCATTCCACTGAGACGTGACCTGGGACATATCATTTCCCTTCGTGGTGCTTTATCAGATAGAGGCAGCCACAAAGAACTGAGCAAATATTAGTACTAAACTGTGAAATGACTAATTTTTCTCTTATCCTGGCTGCTGAGCAAATGAACAAACCTTACTCCTATGTGTTTAAAAATATATAAAAGTTTGCCTTAAAATAAGCACCTCCCCAACCCCCACCCAAAGGCGCTCAACCAGGGCATGGACAAGTGTGTGGAATGTGCTCACATCCTGCGTAATTTAGGGAGAATTTTCTCTGAGTATTCTGTCCACAGGATGTAGCCTTGCCTGGCCTTGGGTTGATTAACTAAAAGGCCAGATGGAGAAACAGTCCCCAAATAGCAATGCATAACTTTCAACAATTCTTTAATTTTCTTGACTGTTGAGGCATAGCCAAATAAGAACTTACCTAGGGACCAGAAACAGCTGAAGAGCAATTGTAGAGGAGAAAAAAACATACTCAAAGCATAGAGACAGGTCCTAGGCAAACTACTTCCAAGAAACCCATTCTATTCCAGGTTTAAGCAGCTGAGCCAATATTTGCTTCTGCCATAATATCTCAGTCACATATTCCCCTTTGCTGGTCCTTAGTTTCTCTCTCTGTGAAGATGACTATGCCCCATTTCTCCTTCTTTTTCATTTATTTTTGGAAGCTCTTAGTGGAACATATATACAGAGATTTCTCAGTGAGCTTCCACGTCTCTGATCGGGGCAGGATAATTATTGATCCCAGTGGTTTTTATTTGCCAATGTGGCACTTTCAAAGACTTACAGAAGAGACGAGCAAACAACACAAATGGAGAGAATCCCAAATGGAAACATGCATGTATATTTGAAAACAAGTATTCAGACATGTGCAGATGGCCCTCTCCCTCTCCCCCATGCACATACACAGAATCACATGACTCTATGAATACACACGCAAGCAGTTGTGAAGAGACAAAAATATATGCATGGCTATTTACACAGCTAAACCTGAAATCAAATAGCCCCTCACCCACTCTTGAATGTTCCCCATCAGTTTCCCACTATAAGGTTAGAGATCAAACTAACCCTAACCTCTTTCATACTCCCAGCCCTGTTCTTCACCAAGGTTATGACTGCAGTCATGGGCTGCAAAGATCCAAACACACTTTTATTGAGATGCTGCACCAGGTATGGGGAACATAGAGAATAAGAGAGTCCCTCCCGTGAGCGGCTTAGGTCTAACAGAGGAAGGAGATACACACAGAGCTGCAAAGCCACGTGAGAAGTATTCTAACTGAAGTGACCACAGGAAGTTGGATATATTTCTTTGATCCTGAGATCTGGACAGAAGGCAATACTCCTTCTTCCTTCAGAGGATACAGTGGCGAGTCAGAGAAATCTGCTCAGCACCAGTAAGCTGGAAGCCATGCTACCTTCTACCCAATTCTCTGTGGGGACGCTGTGCTGGTTTCAGTCCCTGGGTCCTGCTCCTAGTTCAGCCTCTCTTGCTTGCCCCTCAGGCATGTGTTGTGGTAGAAGTTGAGAAACAGAATGAGGAGGCTGAGGGCTTACAGGAGCACAGACACGTTGAACTCATCAGGGAAGGGGTACTCGATGAGGCGACTGTAGGAAGAGGAGGCAGCAGTGGCCACAAACTAACCCTGGGCAAAAGAAAGCGTGAGAAGAAAGAAAGGGAGAACAGTCAGAAGCAGTGGCCAGAGAGGAGCAGGTGCTCTCTTGGGTCCCTCTGTGTTAAGGCCAAGGGCAGGCCTGCCACAGCACAGGAAGAGGAGAAGCAACGAAGCCTGCCAAAGCTCAGTTTTTCCTACACCATAGTCCCAAGAACCTTCTTGACACTTCTCCTGGTCCTGGTTACCCCCAATTTCCCTATCCAGTTATGTCGTGGTGGCCTTGATGATAAGCTCAGTCTATTCAGAGCCCCATATGGGACACTTTAGGCTGTCATCACCATCTCGGGGCAGTGGTGCTCCCAAAACTGCAAGGCATCCAGGTACTTGGAGGGTGCAAATGGTGATCACAGACTCACAGGATACTAATGCTTAAAGGTCATCTGGCCGAGGCCATCATCATTTTACAGATGATGACATTGAAGCCTGAGCATGGAAGCCACTTGTTCAAAGTCCCACACTGTCCCAGTGAATTAGGGTTGGTTCCAGGATCTGATGCGATGGCTACTGAGGCCCTTGCAAGTTGGGAAGCTAAGGAAGATCTAAGGATGAGAGGGCTTGTTTGTGGGCAGATGCCAAGTCACTGGTCTAGACTAACAAGCCAAGAATAGAACCAAGGGCTCAGCCGAGGACCCTGGACCCAATGGGGTCTCCTTGCCAGCTGTAGGGTGGTAAGACATCATTTCCACCAGAGGTAGGGCCACATAGGAGGCCATAGCCTGGCCAGTTTATAATACAGGTACATGAAGACATGGACCAAAGAATTAAGCATTCCTATGAAGAAGGCTGCAGAGTGGGGTGGGGAGATAAAGGAAAAATAAGTGTGGCTGGGCTTAACTGTGGGTTTGGGAGTTCTCTTTGATGTTTCAATCCCCTAAGCTGTAGGGAGCACCTCTGCAATCTCAGTAGAGAAAATCCTTGGAAAGATCCTATCCTGCGGAGGTCCACAATGAGCCCTCTGAGGTCGTGATGATGGAGGGATGGAGTTATCGGGGTGCTAAATGAGAGTGTTTCTACTCCCTTTGTGCTCTCTGGGATGATGGCTATGAGCATCTCCCAGCAGCCTCCTCTCCATTCCAGAGACAGGTAGCCCGGGAGCTCTGAGGAGCCACAGGGACAAATGGGAGCAGAGGCCTGGTCTCATGGCCTCAGAAAAGGGAAAAGTTAGAGACCAAACATGATATTCCAGGGATGCAGGTCTCCTGAGCTGGGACTCAGCCCAGCAGACCTGCCTTACGAGGGCCCGGGGCAGGGCTGTCCTAGGCGTGCAGCACTTACCTGGCTGCCTGCCACATATTCGACTCCAGCCCATCCATCCCAGGTCATGGCACCACGATGGTAGAGATGCAGAAAGGTGGTCTGCTTTGGCTTCATCATAAAGTAAAGAACACCTGGGGAGGAGGAAGAGATGATGAGTCAACTCTGGAGGTCTCCTTTCTCCAGACTCTTCTCCTGGGGCCTCAGTTATCCCTTAAAGTGGGACAGGGTGATTCTACCTTTTACTGAAGGAGAGACTGAAATGAAAGGCAAATAACAGCAATCAAACACCAATTTTTGACCTACTGTGTACTTTAATTGAGGCTTTTGAAATTCAAACCCTTGCAGTAGGGATCTAAGGTCTCACAGTGTGAAAGTTTCAGGAGATCTAGATGCTGGGCAGGGATGTGTGGTAGGGAGAGGAGGGAAGAGAACATGATTCTACTTTATGCATATAAAATAATCACTTAAACACCAGATAATTATATGCAGTTCATACTCCTGTTACTTCCATTTTACAGAAAACAAAACAAAACAAAACAAAAAAATACCGAGGCACAAAAAGGTTAAGTAACTTGCCCAAAGGCACGCAACTAATAGGTGGCCAAAATGGGCTCAGAACAGTCTGGCTTCAAAGACTGGGTTCTTCCCCATGGCTGGTCCTTCCCCATGGCTGACCCCAGGGCGCTGGGGTAAGAATTCAGGTGTTGAACACTCAGCCCAAGATCCAGACACCCACACAACACAGTCCCACGTGTTCTCTGCTCAGACCATTTTGGCAAGAGACTGAGAAGAAAGAGCCCCTCTCTTCATCACCAACCACACCACCATTATGTTCTCGTCTCACCCTGCTTAATCCCACAAGGCCCCTGGCCTCATCAGCAAGGTCTCTTCTCAGTAACATGGAAGGATGACCCTGGCTATAACATGTCAGTTTTAAAATTTATTTAACTTTTCATTTTAATCTTACCTGGAACCTGGATACTAAGGGGGCAAATGCCTACTCCTGCTTCTGTGGATAGGGAGCAGGGACCATGGGAGCCAGCAGAGGGGGACGCTACCTCAGTGGCTGAGCATCTTTCCCCCACCAGGTACTGGACCAAGGCTTTACTCTGAAATTAGTCTTTAGCACAGCCGCCGGGGCAAATCCAGAGAGCATTCTTGCTGGGTGGGTCAGACACCACCCTAGATTTGGCTGACAATCATACAGGAGCCCATGGGTCCCAGATCTCACCTGTCATGGAATTCAATGGCCTTCAGAAAGAGGCATCAGCAGCACACGCTCACCATCTGCTGGGCAAAAAGGGAAAGTTCATCAGACTGCAGTCCTGCTGGTGCCACAGCTCGTCCCCCCGCCGGGTCTGGGTTCAGCCTCGAATCCTCACTGTTCTATGTACCGCTGATTACACAGTGCCTACTTGTCTGCAGACAGATGCCTGTTAGCATAGGAAAGAAGGGGAGAAGCTACTGGAGTGACCACAGAAGGACTCTCCCAGTGTGCCCCAGCCCAGAACCTTGCAATCTAATGAGCATGTGGGCATTTTGTTCATTGAAAAGCAGATTCTTAATCAGTGTGCATGGGGTGGAACATGAGATTCTGCATTTCCAACAAGGTCCCAGACGATGCTGATGCTGCCAGCCCCAGGATCATACTTTGAGTCACAGGACTTGAGCCCGTCACCAACATCCAGTGACTCAACATCCATATCACCTGGTGACAAGAATCAGCTACCTGGTGACAAGCCTCAGCTAGAGTCTTTTGTTACAAGGAAGGTTTTTTTTTCTGCTTCCAGTGGAAATGGAGAACAGCTAACAGTGATGAAGTCACTATCACTTAGCTACCACTCAGTGTCTGCTGCCCCATGCTAAACACTTTCATGTATTATCTATCATATACTGATTCCAGCTTCTTTCAATCATTTCCCTTTATAAAATAGGTATTATCATCTCAAGTTTATAGGTAAGAGAATTGAGTCCCAGAAAAGTTAGGTGTGTCACCCATAATCACACAGCAAGAAAATGGCAGAGCTGAGCTCCAAACTGAGGTCCGAAGTCATCCGACTCCAAAGCCTGCACATAACTAGCCTAGCCAGTCCTCTGCCTCTCATCAAAAGGCTCAGGTGACACCTCCTTGACCTCAGATTGTTATGAAGTTCTCCCTCCTAACCCTCTACAGGCTTACCTCCTGCTCTCTGCCATACTTTCATTCCACACACGCTCCAGCTGTAGTCCACTGGCTGGCGGAAGTAGCTGCAGTTAGCCAGGAGCAGGGTGGCCATGACCTGGGAGGAAAAGGAAAGAGGAAAAGACCAAGTCATAAAGCCTGCTCCCACCATGGTGAGCCCTGGCAGGCTCAGACTCCTGAACACCACCACCCAGTGCAACCTTCACTGACACTTGGTGAACATCTGCTAATAAAAGAAACTCCATGGGGTGGCCAGATCAGAGACGCCAAGTTGCATACATCTTTCTAGTCTCTAATTTTTTAATGTGGGCAAATACAGACTACAAACCCACCCTGGGTGCCTATTATGCATGCAAGCCTAAGATAGGTGCCGAAGACACCAAGACGGTCCACGTGTCAGCCCTGCCCCAAGGAGCTCCAAACCTGGCTGAAGATGTAGAAAAAATCCTAACCTTACAGGTTGGTGCTAGAGGAAGCGTAGAAAAAAGCAGGTGTTCCAGTAGTTGGAACAAAGAATAAGGAGGCTTTGGGCAGACGGGGCGGGCAGGCGGGGAGAATGTCAGTTTCATGCCAGGACAAGAGTATGTGGTACCTGGACCTGGGGGGTTAACTAGGGGATTTAGCAGGACTGGCGTGGAAGCGCTGACCATAGGAGAAGGGGCCACAGAATTGGAGAGACATGAAAATTGTGAATAAAGGGTGAATAAAGAGAATTGTGAATAAAGACATGAGAATTGTGAATAAACGCTATTGTAAGGAGCTTGAATTGTATCGCTTGTTGATTTATTTGAGAATAATGTGTTGGATGGGACTAAGCACCATGCTGGGCACTGTTTTGAGCACTGGATCACACTGATAACACCAAGCAGATGCAAACCTTAGGGGACTCGGCATTCTGGCCATATATGCAAAAGGACCTACGGAGGCTTCTGAGCAAGAAGCTGATGGTGGGCATGGCAGAGCTTTCAAGGGATTGAGGTGGTAGGAGAGTGCCTGGTTACTGTAATTAAGTGACAAATTCTCTAGGGCATGCCTTAGGCCGCATGAGTTATTGGTATCTCTCGTGCTACCAGATGTTATGCTGGGTCTGTCTTTAAACAGATAAATAAGACAGGGGGTCCTGCTTTTGAAGCACTTGCCCTCTGGGAGGGGAGAAAGACACATAATGAAAGTGGTGACACAGCCGGAGAAAGACCACAGTCCGTGGGAGTCAGTATATCCTTAACAGGCTCCTAAGGCAGAGGGGCTGTCTGCAGGGTTTGCCAATTCCTATGGTGTAAACAGTCCCACCACGGTGGAGGGGCTTCAAGTCGCTTCACACAGAGTCACTGAACATGAAGTTGCAGGGAGATGCACACCCGTTGCTCACCTGCAGGTGGAGCGGCTCCAGCCCACCTCAGAGAACCAGGACTGCACCAAAGGGGTGGGAACAGCTAAGCAAGGAAACAATCTGGCCCTAGAGGAGTCAGGGAAGGGATCCTGTGAAGTGACGACCGACCTGAATCTAAAGGATGTGCGGGAATTTGTCAGGAGACTGGGGGACAAGAGCCATTCTGGGAGAAAATCAGTGATGTGCCCAGGCCTGTGGACTTTCTGAGCATGGCTGTGTGGGCTGGTGAGCAGGCCTGTGCTGGACTAGGGTGGTGTGCAGGGCTGCTGAAAGCGTGTAGAGGGAGACGAGGCAGAGAGGGAGGCAGGGCCAGAGAGGACTCCGGAGGGCTTCGTGTGCCCAGGAGGGGAGTTTAGCCTCAACCTCTGCGGGATGAGAAGCACCAGAGGCTCCTAGCAAGCAGTGGCACCATCCTCCCCATGCTTGGGGTAGTTTATTGTGTCAGTAGGGTGGAGGATGCACTGTAGCTGAGCCATGAGAAAGGAAGAGAGGAAGAGGAGCTGGAAGAGGTGTGGCCGTCTGGGCCTGCTTCTTCCGTCTCTTCCCTGCTAGCTCACCGACAGGTGAGAGAGATGGAGGAGGAGGCTGCAAGCCATGTGGCCAGGGTGCCTGGTTTGCACTCTGCCTCTGTGCCTCGCCACCTGCTAAGTTACTTAACCCTTCTGTGCCTCAAACAGTGCTGTCATGAGGATTAGATGAGCCTATCCTCGTAAAGCGCCTACACCAATGCTTGCCCTGTAATCAGCATGGGAAAACATCTGTGATGATCATTACCACTGTCTCTGAAAAGCTTGTCCTGACACCCTTACCCCTGGCCCAGAGACCGGCTTGCTGCCCCATCCTGCCTGCCGCTGGTGCATGATGCATCATTTCTGTTGCCCACTCAACACACAATGCATTGCAACCGCCTGTGCCCACACCTGTCTCCCCTCTAGACCGTGAGCCTCTGAAGGGCAAGGAGCCCTGATCTAGCAGGGATTGTGCAGGCCACAGCACAACCTGGCACAAAGCATATACTTGAGGTACACCTGCTGAATGACTTTTTGCAAGATCTGGAAGTAAAAACAGATTTGGGGATCAGAAAACCAGGCAGAGATTAACAGAGCTCAGGTAGAAAAAGGAGATGGCCCATACCAGTTGGGAGGGATAAGGAATTCCACTCCAGCTTGCCACTGACTGCACTTTTCGTGTAAGGAAATGGAAAGTGGAAGTTTGTAACAGGGATGGAGCAGCCAAAGACGGCACAGAATCCCAGCTCCTGCATGTGACCCCATCGAGGAGACTTTTCAATCTGCTATGTACGAATATTATCATTCTATTCATACTTCTGTCAGCCCTCCAAAAAAGATCCTAGAACTCTCCAGGGACCTCCGTCCACCAGCCTTACCTCCCAGATGTGCCCTGAGAGATCCACCCGGCCCAGGTTGTAGACAGCCACGACTGTGCCAGCCCCAGAAGCTCCTGGTGGGACACGAAGCAAGGCCTGATGCCACCAGGAGAAGACAGAAAACTAGGAAGTGGGTGGCATGGAGTGGCAGTGCAGCAGGAGCCAGGAATCCATCCTCGAGCCTAGACAAGCAGAGGAGAAGTGACCAGTGGGCCAGCCACACTGCCCATGCATCCCTAATCCCTCCCCACAGGAGCTCCCAAGGCCTTGTTAATCCAGCTCTTGTTCCCAAAAAGTCTAACACAGGCTAGCTGAGTAAACAGATGAAAGCTCCCACTGGATGGCATTCTCTCCTGCTTCTGTTTTTTAAGGGCCAGGGGTATTTATTCCAGGGCTTTTCCAGGGCACTGGCCATTGTGAGCGCCTATAAGTAGAAGCCAGATTTGGGTCTTGTCCAAATCACCACCTCATCTGCTTCCCCTTTCCCTCCTTGACAAACAGTTGCCTGAGAGTCTACAAGCTGAAGTCCCTCAGTCTCTCCCTTGTGACCCCCAGCTACGGTGTTGCCCAGCACTCCTGCACTGGGACACTGCACCACCACCTACCATGCCCTTCGGGGAGCCTCCATTGGCATTAACGTCGTGCCAATCCTCACACCTTGTGCTGGTCTACTTGGGATTTCCAGCCCGTGGCAGTGGCCTCCAGATTGCAGGGTACAAGAGACATGGATGTGGCTACTTGGCAGCAAGAGGGGGACCGAGGGGCAGAGAGGCACAAGGCCTCCCCTTTTGGCTGCACAGCGCCCGCCCTCCTAAGCATCCCTGGCTCCTCCCACTTCTCACGGGCTCAACCACACCCAGTCCTCCACAGCTTGACTTACACCTCTGGCTTCTCCCAGGCTCCTCTGGGCAGCGAAGGAAGGGGCTCTGGCTGCTCCGGTGTTGCCAGCCGGTGGTGGGTTTGAGCGAAGGGTCCTCTGGGCTCCAGGATGCAGGGCATGACTCATGGGTAACGCCACCGTCCCAGAAACTCTCTACTGCTGTGCTCTGATCCTTTGTTGACCCCAGCCCCAGCCCCTACACACCCACACATACACACAGGCACTCACACGTACGCACGCACACATGCACCCACACACACACAATTGTTGAGAACTGGGAGCTGAGGCTGCCGTCCAGGCCCTGGCTGGGCTCCCTGACACTTTCATGGCCCAAGGGAGAAAGGGAACCAGAGGCAGCAGGGGTGGGAAGAGAGCACGCAAAGGGCAAAGGACGATGGTGGCACCTCCGGAGAGGGGTGGGGAGAAACAGAGATGGGCAGCACCCAGCACTAGGCAGACCACCCACATCCTCAGAGCATCCCCAAGGCCTGCGGCCCATACTCATCCTTCAGAGCAGGGACCACCCTATCGGACACTTGGACAGGCACGTGGAGGGCACGTGCCTCTCCTGCCTCCAGCAGGGTAGGCCGTTCCTCTTGTCTCAGGGTTCAAACTTCCTCTGCCATCCTTTCCCACTGTCAAGGAGTAAGTGTTTCTCTTTCTTTCTTTTTTCTTTTTTCTTTTTTCTTTTTTTTTTTTTGGAGACGGAGTTTCGCTCTTGTTGCCCAGGCTGGAGTGCAATGGCGCGATCTTGGCTCACCGCAACCTCCGCCTCCTGGGTTCAGGCAATTCTTCTGCCTCAGCCTCCTGAGTAGCTGGGATTACAGGCATGCGCCACCATGCCCAGCTGATTTTTTGTATTTTTAGTAGAGACGGGGTTTCACCGTGTTGACCAGGATGGTCTCGATCTCTTGACCTCGTGATCCACCCGCCTCGGCCTCCCAAAGTGCTGGGATTACAGGCTTGAGCCACCGCGCCCAGCTCTCTTTCTTAATCTGCTAAGTCCACACCCCTCCTCTAGCACCCCCTCACTAATAGGCCGAGGAGTATGGGGAATTGGAAATCCCAGATCCAGGCAGCCCTCTTCCCCCATCTTACCTCTATCCACCTGTGCCTGATGAGAAGTGATTACAATGACCATTCACCCAAATAACCTCTCTTAGGCACATCCTTTCCCTCTTTATGAGGTACAGGAAAAGAACCAACTCTGGAAGCCAGATCCCTGAAGGAAGAGGCCCGGCAGCCCACACCCCGAGTCTTGCTCCACAGTGATTCAAGGGCAGCTCCCGGAACCAGACTCTTTAGAATAGAGTGCCCCAGTTTCTTCTTCTGACAAGATGGCACACTGTGGTCTTGTGAAGGCTCGTAAAGAACCATGCCTGTGTAAGCCCCGGATTGTCCATGCTCATAGATAAGAGGGTTAAGAGCT